CTTGTAAAATTGCTCTCCCACACCTTCTCCTTATAGTTCACCCACGCATAGACATAAATCCGGACAGAACTGTAAGTTCCCAAGGTGTAAGGTATAAAACCAGGGATGTAGCGCCCACTTTCTCCCCATGCCATTATCCTCCAAGATCGAGGATACAAAAGAAGGGGTGGGTCGTGTGGTGGTGGTTCCTGAAAAGCAAATACTGCAGCTACTGACTCCTTAAAAAGGCTGGGAAATGCCTGGATCACACTGTTAGCATCACCCTCAACATTACCTGTGTTTTTCCTTTCTGTGTCTACGCTATTGAGCTGCATTTGTCAAAGAATCATAGAATATCCTGAGCTGGAAGGGACTCAGAAGGATCATAAAGTCCTACTCCTGGCCCGGCACAGGGCAATTTCAAGAATTACATTATGTGTCCAAGAGCGTTGTCCAAATGCTTTTTGAACTCTTTGAGGCTAGGTGCTGTGACCACCTCCCTGGGGAGCCTGTTCCAGTGCCCAACCACCCTCTGGGTGAAGAACATTTTCCTAATATACATCCTAAATCTCCCCCTGATGCAACATCAGGCCATTCCCTCGGATCCCACCACTTGTCACCAGAGAGATCAGTGCCTGCCCCTCTTCCCCTCGCGAGGAAGTTGTAACTGCAGTGAGGTCTCCCCTCAGTCTCCTCCAGGCTGAACAGACCAAGTGACCTCAGCCCCTCCTCATACAGATTCCTCCCCAGACCCTTTGCCATCTGCACTGCCCTCCTTTGGATGCTCTCCAGTACCTTTATAGCTTTCTAATATTGTGGTGCCTAGAACTGCACACCAATACTTGAGGTGAAGGACTATTACAGGGAAAGACTAGGCCTTTACTTGGGAAACCTAGGATATCAGCTGCGACTATCTGAAATATATGCATTTCTAGTTCCTTCTCCTTTTAAAGGGTTTCTACTTACCAACCCCACTACAGAAGAATTTAGAAGATTATAACTAATGAACCTGATCTAGTATTAGCAATTTCCAACACCAGCACTATAAAATATTCACTTGCATGGCCTTAATGCACATCTTACAGGTCATGTCAAAGAAGAAAGTGGAACAGATCAATATATGAAGTCACCAGATCTCTGTTCTCCCCACAGCCAAGAAAACCGGTATGCTGTGGCTTTTTGCAGCTGAACACAAAACAAAAGCAACTACTATGGCTAAGGGGGAAAAAAAGGTCAATGATAAAGGAGGAAATATAAGAACAGGGAACTTAGCTTTCCACCAGCCTTCAATCTCTTAATTTTAAGTCCCTCCTATGACACACTTTCTTTCTTTTAGACACGTACAAGCTCATGGAGGAGACATTCATTGTTAGTGCTAGTGTGAGTTTTTAGAACATAGCATATTCCTTGACTAGAGGTTCTACAGTTCAACTACATATGTGAAGGACCATCCCTATTGTTTTGTTTTAAATCTGGCTCTGACAACATAGTGACTACTTGCTAATTTTTCCTCCTCCTCTCCCCACAATGAAGTAATATGGCAGCAATTTTCTGCTCACAGCCTGTGTGCTACAAAGGCATCATTGATAAGTCTCCTCTCCAAGTTGTCTTCTTTCCTCAATTGCTTGATTGAACACTTCAGCTCTCTAGATTTTTATTATTTGTAACAGAAAATGACTCAGACACTTGTAATTCAAAGGTAGAACTATAGTACTAAAAAATCCCAAAATAGACAATAAAGCATCCGCAAAAGCCCCACCTCATCCAGATCAGAATGCATGACATTTTTAGAAATTATTTATGCTTTTGCACTACTCTTCTAGCTATTAGGAACAATATGATTTATTACACCACCTGTCAGATTCACAATCAAACCTGCAGTGCTCATATTTTACAGTATTTCATTATTGACTCCAGAAATGAAGGCAAGCTTTAAGCCCTGACTTTACGGCTTATACATTTCAGGGGAAAATGAAAAACCCCACACCTTTATACTAATTTACTCATATTCAACCTTTCAGCTTCCCCCTTTCTTGATGTGATAATATAGTTTACATAAGCATCCAGGCTTCCCTAACTCTTGCTCACCAAACTGGTGCCAGTACAGTCCCCCCACCTCCAGCTCCAAGGCCTGTTTTCTTTTATTTGCCTATGATTACACATCTGTAATCTTCACATAAAAATACTTCACACAGTTCTTTCTCACAGTTTGTTTGCTCTTTCTCACAGTTTGTTTGTACAATCACAAACCAAGCTCCTCTCAGCTCTTCTGCTCTTGAATCTATAAGTGTTGTATTCCCTACTACTCCAATAATAATGGAAGTTCCTTCCAGTACCAAGTTTCAAACCTTTTTTCCAGAGCTCTCAGTCTCTTGCCTAATCCTGCTGTGAACACCTTTAGCATTTTATCTCCAGAGATAAATCAAGGAAGTTTTATTCCTCAGAGTCTGATCTTTAAGAAAGAGATGTTACATTTATTGATAATTTTAGAGGATATAATTATATAAGCACAATTTAAAAATTATGAGTCATTGTGGATATGGAAAGAGTAAATCATGTTAAAGAAATCTGGTTACTTTTAAAAATGAAAAATGTTATTAGCCTATATAAACCAAGAGTCATGACTTAGCTGGGGTCTTAAAAAGATTCGGAGTAAAGTCAAAATGATGGATCATTGTTATCATTCAGGATGCTTTGTTGTGGATGGAGTAAATCTTTATTAAAACTTTTCTCCCAATATCAAGCACTTGTGACTCAGCATTCACATCTGAAAGTCTGTATCCTGAAGTCTAACTCTCCCATCCTTGATGGGTTTGGGTTTTTAGGGCATCTGCTTTTCCTGTAACACTGTGATAAATTCAGTTGACTCCAGAGCTGATGCTGTTGCCTGCCTTGATGTTTGTGCAGTACCAAGGTATCATTTACTACCCAGAAAAACAGGGGATTGGATGGAAAATGGAAAGGTAGCTGCTGAGAAGTGAAGTCTCACAGGATTGTATATTAATACTAGCAGATTTTCATATTTTATTCAATGGCCTACATAAATCTGTAATAAGTCAGACCATTAAATTTGCAGATGATACTAAAATAAGCAGAGTATTCAAGACTCAGAGGGATGCAAGAATAATCCTGCCATTAACAAAATGGGCTCAGAGGTGAGATCGGAAATTAAATAAGTATTCATTAAATGTAATGAAAATTGACACACTTCAGTAAAAATAATGTTCAGGACACATACTGAGACACTTACAACTTAAATTATGCTAAGGTAATTAATATGTAAAGAGAGAGAAAGTTATGAGCTATTCTTGCATTGCCATTCATAGTTTTAAATTCTAAGAAGACATGATCTCTGTCCTAAAGAGATAACAGATTGGCACAGACAAAATAACACACTGTCATTTAATACAGTAAGAAAGAGTGTCTGCCAGCACAGTCTAGAAAAGAGGAAGACAGCCCTCTGGACCTGCTAGTCACTAAGATGAGTGACTGTGATGGCCATCATCACATTTGATTTTTGCTATTTTCTTCTCTACAAATTTTTGTCTGAGTAGAGGGTACTTCAAATCTACACAAAATATTTTAAGAAAAGAGCCTTCATTTATTAAAATAGAAATGTTGTATTATCTGAATAATAGTCAAGAAAATTAAATGCCTATTTCTAAGAGGAGGCAAAATCACCCCAGCTGGAAAACAACAACAACAAAAAAAAAAAGACCAAAATCCCAGCCACTAAAAGTAGACCTTTAACTCTTTCTTAAGGTTATTGAAGGAAAAAGGTCTGAGAATAAATCAAACAGAAAGTGAGCAAGATGCAAATGAAAGAGCAAAAAATGGAAAAAACAAAGTCAAGAACATAATAAAACAAATATGCTCGTAAGCTAAAGACAAAGATCTTTTGCTATAGTTCATACCAGAATAAAAGCAACACCAAAAACATCACAAGAAGCACCAAAATACTTTTAAAGTATATAGTAAAAAGATTGTAAAAACCAATTTTTTTCATTATTTATACCACTTTAACAGCTTGTCATAACACATACCTCCATAATGGAATATCCCTTTTCATTACATTAGTGAAAAGCCTGAGGAAGAGGGAAAAAACTCCTCCTCACAATTTCCCTATTGAATCACCTGTATTACGGGCAACAAGGTCCCCTGCTGTACTTCGTTTAGCCTAATTTCCATGCTTGGTCTATTAACAGCCTAAGTTAACTACAAGTATCTAGAAACATATAGAGATTTGGTTAGGCCTATTATTTGTTACAATTTGAAGAGCAAAATTTGAAGAAAAAATAACAGCAGTGTTAACAGAGGGAAAGTGCCAAGGTCATTTATGCAGGAGCTTAGCAACAAAGGAGAGCTGTGAAATACTGTAATAGCAATAAGTCAATGGATTAACACAGCATCAAGCAACATCTTGGAGATAAAAGTAGTAAACAACATGAAATGCAGTGATAAGAATGAAATAAGGGTGTTCAGTTTTTAGCAGTATGAAAGACTGAATGAAAAGGGCCCTCATCTTACAGCAATATAAATAAGAGGAGGGGAAAAGATGCTAACTTTACTTCAGTTAAAAAGATCTGAAATAAATTTCTATTCCTTCTTTAATGAAATATTTTGTTGGTGTCTTTCTTAAATACAGGACAAGAACTCTGATTTTTATAAATAATGTTATCCTAAAATATTTAAACAAAAAGTAGAACAGTTACAGGACATAATAAAGTACTATTTAAGATTCCCAGAAAACAAAATAATTAAAAAAAAGTGACACATAAGCAAGCACTCTGTTTCTCTGATTTAAGTTTAGAAAACATAGTTTGATAAATTTGTGAAAGAATTGCAGTAAGTGTATCAATATCAATCAAGTCAGAGGATATATAAAAAATACACTGAATCAGGAAACATTGCTCCACACAAATAAAGGGCACACTCTGTGATATAAGTGGAATAAAACCTGTTACCATGTTACCACAAATTCTTATTAGTAAAGATAAAACCTCATTTAAATATAAACTTACCAGATATCAAACCCGTTGTGAATGAAGAGCATGCTAGGTGTCAGGATGATGGAACTACATTCTGTAAATATGAGTGCATCATCTGTCAGTCACATCTCCTTGCTGCAAGCACCAAATTACATCTGCAAAATATTTTATCTTGATCACATCTGCTGTTAAATATCAAGGTCTAAGCTTGTATATGAATTTACAAGTGATGACATTAATAAGTCTAATTTAGTCATAATATTCCTATGCAAATCTCAGTAATGCCTCAAATACAGTAACAAATACATGGAAATATCACATGATAAAATTGTGGGTTCAATCCCCATATGGGCTATTCATATTCAAAAGCTGGACTCCATGTTCCTTGTGGGCCATTTCTAACTCAGAATATTCTGTGATTCATCTGTGATTCAGTTACTATAGAAGGTGGAAGACATTGAAAAGCTGAAATCTTTATTCCCCACTACTTTTGGGTTGTTTTGTCTCTTCTAGCAGTCTCTCTTACCCTATCAAGTCACCCACCCACATGGTTGGGCCTTTAAGGTGTCTGCACTTAATGACACCCAATCTTGGTGAGTTTTTACTTAGATGAGTAATTCTGCTTTTCTGTCTGCAAGAGATGGCAAGAAAAGAAGCATTCACTTCTTTCTCTCACTTTATACCATAAGAATGCATATATTACTCTGTTTAGGACAGGAAGGGCAAGAAACTCTGATACTACAGGCTACTACTGATACTCCTACCAGCTCTGTTAGGAAGAAATTCCAAAACATCTACTTTCAAATTTTTATTCTAAATTTATTGATGAATGCTTTTTCCATTGTATCTTAAGGCTTCCATGCCAATTAGTTTACTGGCTTCTGCTTTTTAATATTTAATCCCTGAGGACTCAAATGTTATATGCAAATTGACCTTTTTTTCACCTTGGGTTCTGGTGTGCACCACAGTTGTGTTTTGACTACCTGCTGGCACACACCAAGAACTTTCCATCTTTCCCTCACTATGGCAGATGATTATGCCATCTGAAAAGAGTATTGTGTCCTCAATCTGAACAAGAGGAATTCCCTGTTAATTCCAGCTACCATGCAATCTACAGACAGCCTGGAGAAAGCAATATTAATACCTCTAAGTTTTTATTTCTTATAAAGATGACTCCTTTTACAGTCTTCAAATAGCCTTTTTCACCTGTTTCTGCACATAGGTAACTGGAACTGTATCTAATATTGTGGTAATATGGAGATGATTTCATCAGCATCTTGCAAAAACAGCATTAAGCCTTTCCCCCTAACAAGGAATTTCTCATTGCACAACACCTCCTTTCTCAATCTTTAGAGGCCCCTGGAACTGACTAGCAAACCCAGCTACTCCTTCTCAATTACACTTAGTCACCCGTCCTTTGAGTTAGCAGCAGGTTTTTGTCATTAGCCTTTCAGTGAATGACATTGCTGTTCACATTACTGGAGTTCATTAAATTTTTGTTATCCTATTTATTTAAGTTATACTATATCCAGATATGTCTGTCCCAATGTCTTTCAGCTTTATCAGCTAATTTTCATTTCTTCACTCAAACATTCTGTGCCAAAGTAATTGGAGAAAAGTTAAATAATAATAACCCCAAGACTGAGCCTCTAAGAGTCTAATATTAACTCCCATGGTATTTTTTATCAGCTTCATCCAAGAAAATTAGAACAGGTGAATTGCAAGAGACCAGAATTTCCCTTTCACATAATTGCTTAGGGAAAGTATATGATTTTTGTGTTGAACAGCTAATGAAAGATTTTTTTAATTATTCCATAAATTAAACTATTTTTGAACTCCAAAAGCATTTTTTGCATTAATAATATTCTACAGCTGTAAAGTTCACAGTTTAATTATGTGGTAAGTGAACTTCATTTTCTTTTGAACCTAATGCCCTATAACTTCATTTGACGTTACCAATTTTTTTCAATATAAAGGAAGAAGCATCCCTTTCTACTTTTGATTTTATAAAACACAATCATATTCCTTTTCTTGAGGGTGAAAAGATCTATTGTATTTAGTAATCAATTTTTTCCGTTTCCTTACATATTTTATTATTACTGCATTTATCACAATCTCTCTCAAATGCTGCAATAATTGTTAAAGTAATAATAAATAATATACTGTTCTTGTCTAACAAAATCACTTACCCCATGGAGAAATGGCAGCAATTTAATCTGAAATGACCTTGCTATTGTTAACCATTTTACTGTTTTTCTTATTTACCTGAGCACTTTAAAATTTTCTTCACTTCTTAAACACTTTCGAAGTCTACGAAGGTCAGAATAATGAGCATCAAATTGCTTTAATTATTTTCTCTTTTTATCTAATAGAAGTGCAATTTCTGTTGTTCCCCAGGGATGAAAGCATCCTTATTATTTCATTATTTTGGAACACTAAATAATGTGTGCCCAAAGCTGAACTCATTAAGCTTACCTAGTTTTGTTTCCAAGAGTTATTTCCTTTTTATATATTCAAACTCATTAATAGTCCTCATTTTGCTTTCATGTTCTATGTTTTCCTTTTAATTTAAAAGTGAAACAGGGTATTTATTTGGATATGTAGATATACTTTTAGAATTTATTTTTCCATTCCTTTTACAGCTTCTGAGCTCAATGTTTTGGAGCTCTCAGTTGATCTTTAGTAGTGTAAAGCTTCCTAGGCATAGTTTTCTTTGCTGATGAGTTCTTTTTACAATTCTTTCAGATTCACTCCTAGTATATTTTTAACACAACTATTCATTTAGTTAGCTTTAGACCTTTCCCTGCATATTTATGTTCTTTATTCTGTTTATCTTAATAATATTTTGCTTTATCTTTGGGAAAGCTCTTTAGCTGCCATTGGGAGGGATCATTTCTTCAAAGCAGTGCCTTTCTACTAGCTTGTATCACCATGGACTTAGTGATGCACCTGAACTAGCACGCTACCCCTATAGGATGAACAGTGGGCAAAGCCATGGAGCAGGCATCCAGGTGGCTCTGCACACAGCTGTGCTCTGTCACAGCTGAGATGAAGGTGGATTTTAATAAGACAGGACAGGCTCAGCCAGGATGTCTCTGTTCTGTGCTCTCAGTGCACAATGTTCCAAGGAGCTTATCAGCACAGCGCCGTGCAAATCGTGCTGGAGCCTTTCTGAGCTTAATGGACCCAATTGCATGATAGAACAGCAGAGGTCTAAGTACCTTTTCAGTCTGGTTGAGAATAGGCAGGTATATTAGAAGCTCCTGGCCATGCTGGAAAACAGATCTAGATACATATATAAAATTCCCTTGTGATATCCCTATCCCTCTGTTTCTGGTGATCTCACCTGCTAAGTACCCACAAGAGACATTAGTGAGTTTTACTAGTTTAAATTAAATAAATTCCTTCCTGAATATTTATCTTCAAGCTTAGAAAATTAAACTTTTTGCTTCTAGTATTCACTCCTTATATTGATTTGTGCAACCAGTCATCTTGAAAGCAGAGAGAAGTGACTCTGCAGTTATTGCTCACATGAACTATGTAATGAAAATTGTCCACAAAAGTGAAATGGACACAGTACCAAACCACGATTATTTTTAGGCAGCGATATTTGCACAGAAAAGTCACAATATGCTAACTAAACTACTTAATTGCTTCCTATTTTATTCTTTTACAATCTGAAATTACCAAAGAGTATGACAGAATTCCTATTGAATAAATGAAAGGGGTGATTAATTTGGATATATTTTCACTATAAAAAGTGTCTTTACAACATCATTAACATTTAATTTCTCCTGCAGGCTCTGTAAAGGGTGAATAAAAATGGAGAACATACCACTGACTGTAAAAATTGAACATTTCTCACTCAGCAGCAGGAGAAATGGATATGTGATTTATATGAAAACAATAACTGCATCATAAATTATTTTATGTGGTATATTCTGGGATTTAGACATAGAAATCTGCAAAACAAGCCATTCAGAAAACAGTAAAGTAATTTGAGGCTTTGTGAAGTACTTTTGCACTAAGATTGTTTGAGTCAATTACGTTTGCTATTCTAAGATCATACTTCACCTTCTCATTTCATAGTAAGTTCCCTGTCTGACTAGTTCCCTGACTGATGTGTGGGTTTATTATCATAATGGAGTGAATAGGATATAGCCATGTTGCTACTGGGGAAGACATACCAGAATAAATAAAAGCAAAACCAAATTTTAAGATACATGAAACAATATCAGGAAGTACAATCCCAGACAAACCTTTGGTTTCCTGAGAAAATAAATTTTCTTTAAAAATCAGAATTAACTGAAATCAAATCATATGCAAAAAAAACCCAAACCAAGATAAAACCCTAGCAAAAATCTATAATCTGAGGCAAGGAGGAAACCTCATGGTGCTTTTACAGGGAATTCTTTATCATATTTTTGTAGAAAAGAAGAAGCCAGGAAAAAGTCCCAAAGTTACAACTTCTAGCAAATTAAAATTAAACTTTCATATGATGATATTCATCATTACCCAGATGGGGATGAAGAGAGGTGGCTTGAGGAAAATTTGCATTTCTCCAGTGTGCATTGAGGAACTCTGAAATTTCTCAGAATAAAGAACAAACAGAAAGGAAAGGTCCTGAAGAAGTCCTGAGTACTTGCTATAGCACACTGTCCTTGCACATTTCCTATCTCCAAACTTCTCCTAGTGATTTTGCAAGGTAGCCTTACTCAATACTGTCTACTCTTGACACCAGGGACTGACTGCTAGAGCTGTTTCACAGTGCATACATATTTGAAAAAATGTATATACATTAGGTAATTTAGTGCAATATAAATCCACTGGCCACACTTACTAATTGTTTATCAGTCTTACACTTCTGAAAAAGTCTAGGATCTAGGATCTTCATTGTAAACTCCAAACAGACAGAAGCCATATTCTCAGTATAACCCATGAAGATGGCTTGCTTATTCAAAGCAGAGCTAATTTCATTCTGAATACTCTGGATGGCTGTGTCCCTTTTTCAGCAGAGACATCAGACATCATTGTTCATGAGGAAGGCTTGTCAGGTCGCTGCTGACTGGCTGACTGCTACTGCACCCACTCTTTTAGATTGGGTTCTGTTAATACTTGTCAAAGTCTTGCGAGTATCTATAGAGAATTCAATCAAATATTATATTTGTTTCACTTTGCGGTTACAGCTTTGGTGGATGGGTTTGTTCTAAATAAATTTCAGACAGCTGGGGAAGTTTCTTAGTTCACCCATCATCAAAAAAGAGAAAGGCACATTTTTCTTCCTGAATCTGATTTGAACTGCTGCTACTTGTTTTTTTTTTCACCAGTATTTTCATTCTTGTGTATGTTTTTTTGACAGATATATCTGCTTTTTGTTTGAACTTAAAATTTTATTGTCCAACAATTTTGCTTTAACTAATATACATTAGGATTTTTTCCCAAATATTATTCTTCAAAGCTCCAATAGATGTCACTATCAAAATATAAAAGCGAGCTGGTTGCGTAATGCAGTCAAAGAGAAACAGCAGGGAAGCCTCACTCACTGGACTGCTTCAAATCCCAGCATGAGAGCACAACTCATTAAGCTAGACATTGAAGTGAGCAGCTGCCAGCCATAGAGTGCATGTCTTTTTATTCTTTAAACCATCACTGTTAGATCAAAAATATCTAATAGTTTCAATGAACATGAAAGTAATACTGAACCTACTGGGTGTTTGGACTAATAAGCAGTTTCCTGTTAGGTTTTTTCCTCTCTGCCCATTCAGCTTCAAAAAAATGACCTATCTTTTCTTTAGCCCACTTTGCACATTACTGTGCTGTGTTTTACAAATGCTCATTTTTCCTGTTAGTTTGAATCACATCTGGAGTAAGTCTGCTGTGAAGCTTTACTACTGCTTTTGGAATGACATGTCAAAACATGACAGCACTGCTTGAAATGGATAAGTAAAGCTTATAAGTAAAATTATTTCAGAGCTATTTGTCCATACTACAGAAATCTAAGCTTTTTTACTGACCAAGAAGTACTTTGTTCTTTTATCTAACCCATAAGTCTTTGGGAAAAAAAACCCACATGCTTTCTTTATGAATATTGGATTCTTACATTGTTCTGAACAATCTCTTTTTTATACTGCTTGAAAGAGGAGGTAAACTCTATATCTCTACTATATGATGTTGAAATGGGTCTACTAGCTCTCCTGCCTTGGAAAACCAGTTACTTTAAAATGAAAAAAAACATTATTTCTTTATTTTTAATTAAATAAAACCCATGTAGCCCCTAATTCTTGGGAACAGACCTGGGAATGGGAGGCTTTCCATATTCAAAAAACCTTGTGGCTTTTTCTATAAATCTCTGCAAGCTTGTATAGTGAATGTAATTTTGAACAAGTAGTATTTTCACTAATGCAGGTTTGTCAAGGTTTGTCCTTGCATCATGACCCATCCCCAAACTAAATTGTACCACAAGATGTCAGTGCAAACAATTCCCCTATTGGTGGCTCCACATGACTTGCTTGTGAACCTTGTTCCAGTTTGAAGTTATTCTGAGCAACAAATATGCCCAAAATGTTTCCAGTCTATTTACAAGCAAAGAGCTTAAGGATGAAAGAGAAGAATTGAATAATTTGTTGCAGGATGGCCTGTCCAGCCTAGATCCCCACTGTTAATGTAGGAAGTTTTCTTCCTTTGTCTAGAACCCCAGACCTATGCATTAATTCAAAGACACAGACACCTGAACAGTTCTGCTAAAGAGAAGTCTGTGGTGACAGTCTAGCAAGCTTTTGTGTTAGATTGCAAATACCTTTGTAAAAAAAAATTCCTGAAGCTCCAAAACTTACAGTATGCTACTGCAGTTACCTTTTAAACCATGTTTTAAAACAATTTGGCTGAGCCACAGTTTAATGAGCTTAGGATGTGAGGGAATTCAATGAGACAAAAAGAAAATACAACCAAACACAAAGGTCAGCACAGCTACTCGATTTATGTCAGCCAAAGATCAGGCTCTTTTTAGTTAAACACTGTAGGAATGAGACCAAGCAACTGCTTCTCTCTCATCTACCCATTATCATATTTTTTTATTTCAAGACCAACTTTGATTTGGGATATGGGAACCTCCATAAGATATAAACATTGGGACATGCTGGAGACCACCACATATGAGCACACACTACAGGTTGCAAGGTTTCTTCCCACCAGAAAGGGTACAACCTGAGTACGTGTAATTTAAAATTAGCTCTTAGGGAACACAGCAAGTGTCTTTTCCATTTGCTTTTTACCTGCTGTTTCTTGTGAGGAGGAGTTATTCTTTCATCTTTTATTAATCTTCTCTGGTGTGCTACTGACAGCAGGAAATTTATCTGTGATACTCTCATCACGTTAGACTCAGTTCATTAGAGAAAAGTAGACTCCAGGTACTCACCCATGGTGTCTAAGCAGTTTACTTGAGTGACCACCTCCAGAGATTCTGTAAAATGGGAAGACAGAAACCAGACTTAAACTCTTGACTCTTTAAAACAATCTTCCATAAGTATTGCATCCATAGGAGATGGTTATATGTTCCTCAGCCTATTTGGCTTTCCCCATTGTGCCTTCCCTGTAGGAGGTGTAAGAAAGGCAGTGAGACCTTTCAAAGAATCCAGGTGAAGCAAAGTCAAAATCAGCATTCTCCAATAGCAATTGCCATCACGCAGAAAATCACTAACAGGATTTTAATAATCAGATTTTCCCAAACACCTGGAATACAGGATTTTACCTAGCCTGTAATGGGTGAAGGGCCTTGAGGGGAACCTGGTTGAGGAGGGGCTGGGGTCACTTGTTCTGTTCAGCCTGGAGGAGAGGAGATGAGGACAGACCTCGCTGCAGTTACAGCTTCCTCCTGAGGGGAACACAAAGGGCAGGCACTGAGAGCTCTTCTCTGTGGTGACCAGTGACAGAATCCAAGGAAATGGCCTGAAACTTTGTCAGGGAAGGTTAAGTTTGAATATAAGAAAAAGTTTTTTTCACCCAAAGGGTGGCTGGGCACTGGAGCAGGCTCCCCAGGGAAGCAGTCCCAACACCAGCCTGACAGAATTCCAAAAGCTTTTGGACAATACCCTTGGGCAAATGGTGTGATTTTTCAGGGCCAGGAGCTGGCTCTGATGATCCCTGTGGATCTCTTCCAGTTGAGCATATTCTGTGAGTCTGTGATTCCATACTTGCTATAGAGATAAAGAAAATAATGTCAAGTTCACAATGATCATAGCCATGAAAGGCTGAAAATTTTAGCAGGCCTTTTAATGCATAGTTAAAAAAATTAACATATCTTCTCTGGACAAAAAAATAAGAAACAGAAACCATGAAAGGAAAATATTTTTCAAGGCGATTTTAGCTCACTTCTCCTAAGAAGCTGTTTCCTAGGCGAACCAAATGTAAAAACAAAGCCATGTTGCACCTTTTTAACCTTACTGTCTGCTGAATATGTAGTCAGTAAAAACATGGAAGTTATGACTGCAGGTACCCAGAAATTACTACAGTTACTAGAGATCAGTTACTTTCTGGAAACATGAATCTTCATCTACATATCCCATTCTGTCAGAATTCAGACATCTCTACATCTTAGAAACCAAATGCATATCTGCTAACCAGACAAGCTCAAGGACTCAGGCACTATTAATTCTGTTTCCCTGAGATCTCCTCAACAGGAAAATGGACCTTATAGTTGAATATTTTCCACAGAGTATATTTAGACTACATAACTACATTTTCCATAAGTTCCAGAAAATCTTCCAGAAAAAACAAAAACATCCCAGTGCACATTTTTGGCAAATTTGACTGAGCTCAGATTGTGCAACTGAACTAAAAAGCTGAATTGCTTTTACATATATTAATCATATATTGATTAATATTTCATAACCATTTTTAACACTAATCACTCATCACTACTCTTTCCCTCTAAAATCTTACTAGAAGGCATCTCTGATAATTTCTTCAACATATTTACAAAGATTAACTTCATAGCTACTACTCTGTGTTACACTGCCTATAACTTTATTGTTTGTGAAATACTGTCTAGAGGAAATATTATCTGAACTTTTATTCTGAAAATTCAAAATAAGGAAATTTTTTAAAATAATGGACTTCAGCATCCACTAAGCAAAAGTAGTTTCTGATGATGATTCACAATCATGTATACAACCCTGTATAGTCATCATTCTAGAAGAGAAAATTACAGTAAATGTGCTAAATTACCTTCTTTAGTGGATGTATTTATCACAAGTACAGGGTCTAGTGGTCTATCTTGTTTAATTTCATTATCTTGCATGCAAGTGCAATAGAATCTGATAGGACAATAAAGACTTGTATTGTGAATATATGTCAAGTCTTCAAATGCACCAGCACATACCATTTAATCCTCTTTATTCAAATATTGTTGGAAAAACCCCTCATATGTAGGAGAAGACTCATTTGCTTTGCACTTATCCAAGGCACAGTGTAACAGAGAAATTCCTAAATAGGAAAAGACCAAAGAAAGCATCATAAACAACCATTACCAAAAACAGGCCACAGGAACACTTTGTGGACCATCTTCTCTGTCATATCTGTTCTTATTAAATTTCTGTCTTGAATGACAGTGACTTTGAGCTGTTCACTTCTGTGCCTGATGGGCTTGTAATTGTGATAGGCTTGTATCTGTCCCTGTGCCAGGGCACACCCCCCTAGCCATCCCAGCAGAGACTGCAAGAACCTGTGCTCCTTTCTTGCTCTGCAAGTTCTGCTGCTCAAGTCCATCAATGCTTCCCTGCCTGGAAATGCTGAGGAAAGGAGGCTGGTCACCTCACCTTGATTAGGCTGCTTGACACGGTACAATGCCTATCTCTGCCAATGCTCAGATATCTCTCAGCCATACTCAGAGATGAATTATTTTGCATGTAGCATCATAAGAGCTGTTTAATTCCTCAGGAAAAATACCACAGGTTTCCATAAAGAGGTGCAAGGAGGAATATAGCAAGTTTTTATGATCCCATAATACCCAGAACAATGTTAGCTGAATTCCAACTCTACCACAGGGCTTTCTTGCAAGGAAAAAACCTGGGGAAAATAATACTGAAGAATAATTCTTCTCCCGTAGCACAAATAATTGATAATTGTTCTTCATTAATAAGGCCATTTATACACATACTACAGTCTAATTATCAGGCGTAATTAACCATAATAAACTATAAGCATGAGACACTCATAGATTTTGTCATGAATAATAGGAATATTGTTAGCAAAGAAAAAAGGCATTCAAGTATATATCTTATTATTGGCCATGAAATCACCAAGACATTACTTTTCTGTTACAGCTATATTTCAGATAAAATAATATATGAAGTAAAACCCAAGGTGATCTGACCTTCAATGACAGACTTTGCTCACAGAATCTCAGAAACTTGCCTTTAATTACCTTTAATTTCTTCCACCAATCCCTGATCATCAGGCTTTCCTTTTTTAGACATCACTGTGAAATCTAGTTTATGGTCATGGACAGAAAACTGGGAATACTTCAGGTTTTACAAAAAGAAGTACAATGTTACATACCTACACTGCTGCAGTATATAACACTTTACCTTCCCTCAAAGTATTTTTTTTCACTGTGATTAAAAGAAGAGCAAAAATAAAATCTTTGCTTTCAGAATGATTAAAGGTAGTGAGTCAGCCATGAGTCATGAGCAGAGAGAGGGTAAAGCGCTGTTAGATCTGAAATCATAAATGCTGCTACGTGAGGCAAAAGAGTAATGCCATTATCTTCAAATAACAGGCTCATGACCTCAATGCAGACAGACAGCAGCAAAAGACATGATCACACTCAGTAAGTTAATAAGCTATTCTTTGATCTAAAAAACTGTAGTTCAATTGTCTTACCATATTTTTCTTTCCTGGCAAACATCTATAATTGTAATTTATGTGCTGATAAGTACTTACATTCAAGGTTTGTGGAAAAAATGTAAGTAGCAGAAAACACCACAAATTCCATTGTATTTAAAATATTCCATTATTTTCTTTATTAATGTAATCTCTTTTTAATCAAACATTGCTATTACTGCGCTGTCTGTCTCTGCCACATTAAAATCAGCAGGTTAGAAAATGATCCATAAAAACTGTAGTGGTACATCTTGGAGCAAAGAGAGTGACAGCTAAAGCATGGTGCTGAAGGGACAAAAAGTAACTACAGGGAATTAGTAACAAGGAAGCAGAAGAGCGAGTAGAAACTGGGAAAGGGACAGAGCCATGTTACTGGAATGTAAATAGAAAATGAATCATTACAGGAAACTAGGCAAATACAAGTGAAATAAATATAACAGTAATAATATATAAGTAGTGTATTGGGGGTTTTTTAATATTAGAATATATCAGCCTGTTGACCGACAGGAGCAGTAAAGAAAGTAGGCGCCTTTAGGTAAGTATTGGCCTCATCAAATAGAAAATAATAATAAAAATTAAAATAAAATAAAAACAATAAAGTAAAATATCTGGGGATATGGAACACACCACTATGTACCTGAACACATAACAAACCTAAGGCAAGAAAATAAAGGATATTTTACAAAGATGAATAAACATTACAGTGAGAAAGAGAAAAATGGTGAGAAAGAATAAAGGAAGAAGCAGTAAAAATATATCAAGGGGTGGGGTGGAGAGAATTCATTTTGTATCACTTTTCTGTGCCAAACCATAAACACAAGGACACTCAGCAGTTCATTCTTACTCAATGTTTCCACATTTTTCTGCTGTTTTCCATAGGTGGGGCAAAAAAGACAAAGAACGGAGCCAAGATTTCCATTGGCCTTGATATTAATATGGAAGTGGCTCTCCAGTGTAAGTGCTTCTCTTATGTTTCAAATGTGGCTAATTTTAACATTTGTTTTCTCTATAGAAAGAGAAAATCCTGGAAGTGCACAGTAGATCTGTTGTTTGCTTTGCCCCATCTGCTGGGGCTGGAAGGCAGCAGGGCATACAGTGGTGAGGTCTGCGTGTGCCGGGAGTTACTGAGGGTCAGGGCCCCTCCGAGAGCCGGCTTGTGCTGTGCTTTGTTTGAATTCCAAACTGAATTGCTGCTCACACACCAGCAGGGAACCAGGAAACCGAGCAGAACTCTGCCTCATAGGCACTGTATACGCCTGTGCCGGAAACAGAGGTTTTATGGAAAAAGGGTAGACCAAGAACAGTTTTTTCCCATTCAGCATTAGCAATCCCATGCTTAAAAACCATGAGTCAAGCCTCATGTAATCACTGGGGTGTTTTAAAAGGGAAATGTTTTAAAATACTACTGATTAAAATCTTGTTTGCCTTTTAGATTTTGAACTTTCTACAGGTCTTGTTTTCAGAAGGCAAAAATATTTCTTTATTCACACAATTTCAGGAGCCAGTGTTTTAAGAAAACTTCAAGTAAGGGTAACATAGTTTACATAATAGACAATGCTTTGTGTATTTTATCAAAGTTACTATTGTTCTTGATGAACTATATTGCTAAGGCGTAGCATTTCTTGTCACAAATTAAAGAGCAAATAAGAAAAATCCAAGCAACATTAACCTTTAGTGCCATGCAGTTTAGTAGTTTCTTATCATGCTGCATAAATTCCTGAAAGCTCACAGACTTTTGGCTGCAAAAATCTTTAAAATATCTGATCAACTACCCCCTTTAGGTAATAGTTTGAGTAATGATGTCCTTAATCCTGCAAATCTGAGAGAAAACTGAAGACAACAAAGACAAGAGAAAATGCCCTGAGTCTTTTATATCTGGTAAGTACAGGTTACAGCTTTAACTGTCAGCATTTATCCAACAAAGTGCTTTATTACACAAGAAAAAGATATTAGCCACTCTCAGGAATAAGCAATTGTGCAACTCTGTTACTTTTAATCAATGCACCTCAACAAAGCTTGAATTACAGTAAATATTACATCATTCTTGTTTTCATACAGGGAATGCTCTGCCCTGATCCTGAGGTCAGCAGCAAGTTTTTCGGTGACTTGAATGGTGCAGGGTCAGGTCCCAAGTGACACAGGATTCAGCTGCTTATTTCTGGGTTTTCAGTAACTTGATATTGCTGTGTACATAGTCCAGGAAGGGCCATGTGTAGGGATGTGACTTTACAACAGCTGGTAGGAGCAGGGTATCGCTTTTTAACAGTCTTGATGAAAAAAAGTTCTGTTTATCCACATTCTTCTCCTAAGGTGTATCACCGGGGAGTTTAATAACAAACAAGACCAAAAGGAAGTCTTATGCAATAGTGCAAATTAAAAACATTATTTATGAAGTTTCATTCTTGGACATGTGAGGCAAAGCTGTTAGTCTAGAATATTTTTCTTTCTAGAGACCTGAAAGAGTGGTTTACCACAAGAAAGATAGTTACTTACACAATATCTATTAGTTCTACAACAACATTTTGCTCTCACGCTACTGGTCTTCACATAATTCACCTTATTTCACTTGGTCCCATACGATTGTTCAAACCACACAACATGGTCAAATTATGAAGAAATAAGTTATGGAATATTAAAAAACTGAAGGGAAAATGCTGGCTTATCAAAATATCATGGTAGCAATGAGCATTGATTGCAGTTTGCATGAAATTAATTGAATTAACTGCATGATATATATTAACTGCACATAATTCAATTCAGTGCTCAACTGGTCTCCAAACTGGTCTCCTGCTTCCTGACTCCCACCCGTTGGGATAATTATTTCACTCATTGCAGTGGATATAAAGACAGCATTAACTAGATCCAGTAGTGGTGTTAGATGCCTAAAATATTATATAATTTATATTTTAAAAAATCTGTGACAAACAAGTTGACAGGGATATAGTTACCTACCACATAGCCACTGAAAGAATGGTGCAAAGGAGTTCTTAAGAGCTTGTCCCTGAAACTCTCTTCTCCAAAAATGGCAAATCCTAGCTTCCAGTCTGTAGCCAAAGGATTGCTTATATATACCTGGGTGATGTTATTGTAAAGCACAGGAGTCCTGGACACTCACCATGAGGCTTGAACAGCCTCATGTTGAAGGAGCTGTTCTCAGACCCTTCTGATCAGAATGCAATGGAAGAATGTTGCTCTTCACCTGAGCCTTGCTTTCAAACAACCTATACACAATGTAAGTCCCCGGAAGCAGGAAACTGGGATCTAAAAACCCTTGGAAAAGTGGAAATTTGTTTGGCCTCTGCTTTAATGACTAGGTTTTCCTCATCAGACACATTTTATACTTGTCCTTGAAATCACATTCCTTTTCTCTTGTAAATACATGATATTCATCGGGACAGCTTTAAAATTAATTTAATTTTACTTAATTCTTCATTGTTGCCCCTCCAAAACTGCTAGTTTTCAAATGCATAAAATGTTAAATTTTTGTCCCATTTCTGTCTCTTTGAAGAATTTATTTTGATACGGAAATTGACTTTCAACACAATTCTTTGTTATATTAAACTGACCATGTCACCATTACAAATTTGGAAAATACAGGTGCACTAACTCACAAGGCCACATAAGAAATTGGTAATTTTCTTGTACTTCTGGAATCAGATTTTGGTTTTTTTTTTTATTTATTTTGTTATATATTAAATAACCCATCATTAAGGTTCCTTGCAATCCAAGTATTTTAATGATTCTATTTTACAATTAAGATGATACTATCATTAGAAAGTGCAACAATTTTATATAAATAACATGACTGTGTTTCTGAAAATTTGTTGGAAACATAGCATTCCATGGACAGTGGCATCTGTTACATCTAGAGACTGAAAATACGGGTTAATTCAAAGTAGGCTGCCTAAATTTCAGATGTCTGTTAGACTGCCATTAACATCTTAAAGGAAAATGAAATGGGTAAAAAACCAGAACACATACTTAGCATCTAAGACAGACTCCATTTTTTAGCTACTTGACTTTAAGCACTTCTGAAAGGCTTGAAGCCAAAAAAAAAGTTGGATGAGTGTGAGGAAAGAAAAACAACCTAGATCCAGTATTTTTGCCAGTCCTGCTGTTTGGAGACTCCCTCTACCATTTGTATTTAATTTTCCTATCTTAGTACACACCATCTTTCCAACAGCTTCTGAAAGACAAGACATGCATCTCCCCTGACATCACCCAGCAGGAAATTACCAGAAATTAAGGGCCCAGCCTTGCAAATATATTGTCATGTGAGAGTCAGTGGGATACCCATGTGTAAATCCTGAGTTGATCACTGTCTAAAGTTGGCAATGCAGGTGTATTCCGTAAATAACTCAGCCTAAGCCGCATGTCTGCATTATACAATGCATGCATCAGCCAATTTTATTGAAGATGTTTCAGCTCATACTAGGTTGAGTTATTTTATCATGCTGTTTTTAATCATTTTCTTGCCTCAACTACTCATCCTCATGTAGCTGTCTGTTATGAACACTGAATTGGGTATGACATGGAGATTCTAGTGTAATTCAATCATTACAGAACAAATGACATTCACATATGTTTATGTTTAGCGTCAATAAAAAGACAGTCAATCACTTTATACCAGGTTACATCAGATATGATTTTAATTATTCCTCTTGTGAAAAATACTTTTCACATTTTATTACTAACAAAATCACTGCAAAAATTAAATTAGTTTTACATGGTCTCAAAGAATTTGTAAACCTATGAATGCAAAAATCTATGCTGTGAATGAATATTTGATTTAAATTGGGAAGAAATTAAATATTTATTTAAAAAATCAAGTAAAAATGATTATATGCCCCTAGGAATCTTTCAAACCTTCATACAAAAAACACAAATCTCTTGTATCATAAGTGAACTGATTGCAATTCAGCATGATTCATGGTTGATTAATTCCACTGAACTTAGAAGGTTATTCTGAAGTGCTGTTTCCATATTTAAGGTGATGGCAGCTCTGTTCTTTCAGTGGTGTTTATCCTTGAATGAAGTGATCCGCTTCATCATTTGAATTGCCCAGAATGCAGCACAGAGGGAAAACAAGACCTACAACACAGAATTTACAATGAAAATGAGAAACATTATATGAGGTTGGTTTTTTTTGGGTTTTTTTTGTTTTGTTTTGTTTTTGGTTTTTTTTGGGGTTTTTTTTTTTTTAAATTCTATTGATCTGAAAATGAATGGGTGAAAACAGAGAACTTGAGGGGAAAAAAACCCAAGAATTCCAGGCATACTGATAAATTCACTTTAGAAAAAGATTCTTTCTTTTTTTTACTACTCGTTATTGTGGACATTCCTGTTGAATTTTGACAAATGATCTGAAGAATGCTGACACTGTAAGTTGCAAGATAGGGTACGAATAACCTTAAACAGGATCTATAGTAAAAGAAGTGTTCTAATTGCAATACAATACATAATGCAATACATTACATAAGTACTTATTCCCCAACCTGCTACTTAGATATAAAGTAGATTAAAAGCAACTTAAAAGTGTCCACTTTATCTTGTTCTTAGCTCTTTGCAACTTTATTTTTTTTTATTTGGTGAATTTATTGAGAGGTCTAATACATTTTTTTCAAAATTTATTTGGTGAAAACAGCATTAGGATGAGTAGGAAAGATTTCAAAGTCTAAATTAGGTAATAGTTCTGTCTAGAGCCCACAATGCAGCAAGATAAAATGCATGTGCAAATGTGCGCATGTGATATTTTGTATTCAAAATTTTCTAAAAGAAACCTTTGTCTTTCACATAGGAAAAATTTCTCTAAATTGGAAAAAATGCAAAATTAAGAACGTTGTTATTGGTTACTGAAGGAAGTAATTTTTTTTTCTGTGACTAAAACAAAGCAATTTGTTTATATTGAAAGGTATTTTAACAATGTAATGTTTTGGTTGTTAAAAGAAACAGAAAATTTTGACAAGCAATTTTTGAGTCAGGTTGTAATAATTATTTTTCAGGTCAATCTGCAATCTAAAGGTGCTGACTAGGAGAGCTCTAATTTTAACATTAACATAATTTAACATTTGACATTTAATAATGCATGGCCCAAAGGTCTACTTCTGTCATTATCTACAAAGTCACTCACTGAAGTACATGGGATCAGAATGTCCAACATAAATAATAAATTACCATAATACCCAGCAGGTACTAATTTTTCACTCAGTGAAGGCCGTGTCTGCTCTGATCCCTCTCAGAATCTTTTTGGGACAGGTACAGGCTTCATGCAATATGTTCTTTAGGTGTATACTATGCATATACTTAGTAGCTCAAGATGAAAAGAGCACAATGTTGGAGTAAGTAAAATTCAAATAAAATAAAATCAAAACCCTTCAATTTTCTTTCAATTTATCTGAATTGCAATTATTTTCTTTGAAGGCTTTAATTGTACTTGAGCAGAGGTAGGCTGCCTACTATGTCTAAAACCTCTGTTGATGCTGTTGGCACTGCTCTTGTGGTCCTATTTGTAGGAAAGACTGATAAAGCACTCATCAAAAGATTCTTTTGAGAGAGTTTCAGATTTGAGCTATGAAATATTTAACTTCTTTTTATTTTCTTGCATTATCACAAACACCTGTAAAATACACAAAATGCTGTATAGCTCTATTTTTACAGCTATGGAAAGGAACGTATTTTTAAGCAGTACTGCAGTTACATGCTGCATGTTTGGTGAGATTTTTCTGTGCTGAGATACTCTGCAGAGGAAATCTAACTACAAATAACTATCTGTATTTCTGATCTGGCTGTTATGCAACTGAGATGAGTGTAAATCATGCACATAAAACAGTGACTTATATATAACATGCTCTTACTGTGGAAAAATTCTCTGTCATGCTATCACCAGAAACAGAACTTATCCACTTGTCATAATTAGTACTTCTTTGACACATTAATAAACTTCTTTCATTCCTCACCTCAGAAAGATCACTCCTATTCCTGGAAGATGCATTAAATATAGAACTATTTCAATTTCAGAAGGAGCACATTTAAGCACATTTAATGACTGAGGTGCAGGGCATTTGTAGGGGATTAATGACTGTTGGGAGATGATGATCACCTGAAGAAGCACAGCCATGGGCCATTAAGCCCCAGGAAATGTCCTCAGCTAAAGATGGTTATTGCTATTATAGCCTGAAAATGAACAAAATATCTCGGGTGAATTTCTCTTTTTTAAATGAAGTGATGCAGTTTCTTCATTCTTAATTAAATTCTTCACTGTGAATTTCCTAAAGCTTGCAATCAATGCTTGTGGGGGAGTATTTCAAGTTGCAGTTATTATATCCAGAATGGAAAATCACATGCTGCACACTGTAGATCTGCAAAACTAGTTTGGCTTCAATTCTATAAAATATATAAATTATATAAAAGTATTGACTCACTGCCTATCAATGTCAGGACTGCCAGTACTTGATGGAAGTAACGCATTCGGGAAGCAACAACACTGCAAGGTTCTGGGAGGTGGGAGAGCTAAGAAAAACCCAAACATCAGGATAAAAAATTAAGGGGCCACATCCTTGCTTGCATGCAGTTCTGGCTGTCTGTACTGCTGTAATGCTGACCTGCCCTGAACAGAGCCAGCTGTATGGGGCTACCAAGCAGAAACCTGCTGTGTAGGTTGGAGTTCAGTTTCTTTTGATTGCTGCTACATATTTTGGAGTTACAAGGCTTGACCCACTTGAATGAATCGTGCAATCAGGTGATGTCAGGAATGGAAAGCTGAGATGATACATGCCAGACCTCTGAGCAGACAATAGTGTGGGCAGCAGGAAGCAGCAAAAGAGCATTCCACCAGGCAAGCTGAACTATAGTTGACCAGTATTTTTCTAATGCCCTTGGGAAAACATATTTCCTGAATCTTATGTGCAGATATTTTGTACTTTCTACTCAACATTCTCACATGCGAATGGGTTAGGGTTTTTTTTTTTTTTTGGTTGTTTTTTTTGGTTTTTTGTTTTTTTTTTTTTTTTTTTTTTTTTTTTTTTTTGGTTGTTTGGTTTTGGGTTATTTAACTTTCTAAATTATTTTCACAGAAATACTCATTCCTTCTTATATTGTCCAAACCCACTAATATTTGTCCTTTGATAAAAATATTCACATACTGCTTTCATAGTTCATCTGGTTTTGAAATAACAAGAAAAAAGTTAGTATTATACCTTCTTCTTTTTTACACTGACCAAAGCTCCCTCACCAACAGTATGACATAAGAACAATAGTTTTACTTCTGTCTTAAAATGAAAAATTACTGTGGACAGTGTTCATACACGGAAGAAGTCTAAAAGCAGGATTTCTCACAACACTATATTTAGCCAAGTTAAATGCAAACTTTTTGCCGCTTTTATATAAACACTTGTTACATTTACCTGTTCAAGTAACTACAGATTAATTATAGATTGCCCTTTAGACTGCTGGAAGAGCACAAATATTTACATTACCTCCTTTCATATAGTCAATTTCCATACAGCCCATATTCTCTCCCTGAACTGCAGAAATGCAAATAACATTATTCACAAGAACAAAGATAGCTTAACTAATGGATTGACTGCAGGACTGAGTCTGCTCTTCACAGGAAATTCCCACTGGAGCAATCGAAGTTTATTAGGCTGTAAAGTACTTTAAAATCGTTAACTAAATTTAGGCACCCACTTCTGTATGATTAGCTTTGTTGCTGAACACTAATGTTGTTTTCTGCCATTTTCTCCTTTGTAATGTCTTTGTATATCTGAGATGCCTAGACATGATGTCTTTCTTTTCTCCTGCAGATCTCATCTGAATAGAATTAGAAGGCTTTAGACATCTGTCTAAAAATGTAGACAAATATCCAATGATACTTCTGCTCTAAGGAGGGGAAAGAGTCTTGAACCTCACCACCTCATATCATTTCCAACCTAAATCATTCAGTGGTTCTCTGACATTTCTCACATTCTGCTCAGACATATTTGCTCCAAATTTTGTTGCAGAGACAATCTGCAACCGTTATTCACAAACTTCTGGGGTACAACATCATATTAATGGTCATGCTTATTAAATTGAATTTTCTGAATACCTCTGTCCTGGATAATGTATTCTTTGCTCTGGAGAGGGCTCAGGAAGATCAGCACACCCATATGTTTCATTAGGTTTGCTGTTCACATCATAAAGTGGACCTGATACTGGTAAATGTGATAAACAATTAGTCCTATGTGATGCTGAGCATTGTCAGTGTAATGTTAGAGTAGTTTAACTGATACTAAACATGATTTAGGCTCTTTTTATGATCTTTATATACAAACTTGGACATAGCTTCTTCACAGGTACAAGACAACTTCATACCATCAACAGTAATGATAATGTAATTTTTAGACTTTGTCTGAGACTCTGTCTGGACTGTGTCTGGGTAATGTCACTGTCCTTTCAAACTAAAGATGGAGATCATAAAATGATACAAAGGCTGAAAAATTGCTAATATTAATTACAAAATGATTGAACAAACTACTCTTGATTTCACAAGTACCCAAATGATGCGTTTTTCACTAAAACCACATTTTTTCCCCATTTCTCTACAGATGACTGTTACAGGTGCTGAAATACAGAGAAGAGATAGAAAATTTATGTCTTATAAGTGGGGGAAGGTGTTTACTATTTCTGGAAGTCAGGACTTGGATAACAAATGCATGTATCTTCATTCTCAGTACAATGTTTGGAGACAAGCAGTCTGAGGCTAGTAGAGAAATACCGTCACATTAGCAGCAAATCCAGAGATCACTAATCTTGTACAGTGCACAGACCAAGACTGCACTTTAAAAAAAGTTGCAATAATAATAGATGGAAAGAAAAGCTACGAAACAGGAAGGTTCCTCCTCTGTGTGATAACTCCCTTAAACTTCAAAATAATATGCAGAAGAAAGTGGGAAGCCAGTTTTTCTTTCTTG